CTCTGCCGTACAACCGGCCTCAAAGGCAGAGAGAGGGACAGGGCGGCTTCAGGGCACCTTGGCTCCGGGACCTACCTTCCTTCCCCCCACCCTCTGCCCCACTCCCCTAGCAACTGGGAAGTCAGAGGCTCTGGAAACAAGCTTCTGTCCCTGAGTCTGGGCCTCCCAGGCAGGGAGTCCTGGGCCACGACCATCTCTGAGGCAGGAGAATGCAGACCGGGCTGGCCACCAGCAGCCTGATCCTGGCACCTCCATTCCAGCAGGTAGGCAACAGGGACACTAGGCATAGACTCAGGACAAGACTGGGGTGGCGTCTGTTCCCTGGAGAGTCTTTCCAGAGGCTTTTCTCTCTTCCCATTGCAAGGAGGGCACCGGAGGGGAGATGCGGCTGGGACTTGGTTCCCACTCCCAAGTGCTATGGCTGGGTCATGGGAAGACTGAGTTTCTATCCGACCGGGCGCTACCATGTACAGAGCCAGGGAAACTATATTCTTGGAGCCCCACCTTCAGCATGAAGGCCCCCTACCTTTTCAGCTTGGTGACTTCACACCCAGGACCTGGTGAAAATTACTCACCCCAGCCCTCAATTCTCCCTCCTCCACCATCACCTAATGCTGTCACTTTCCCTACTGAAGGGACCTCCCCGGGGTGTGTGGGGGGTCTTAGCACAAAGGGACAAGCCCTGGGGACTTAGACACCACTCAGGTTCACTGCACTTTCTCACAGCTCGCTGGTTTGGTTTGTTGGCTTGTTTTGCATTGCTGGGGATGGCACCAGAGCCTCTCTCATGCTAGACAAGCACTTGGGCCTCTGAGCTACCTCTGAAGCCCGCTCATGTTTAGTTCCAGGATTTGTAGTCAGGAGATGGCTTTGTCACTCACTCCTCACCTGCAGGCACCCTTTTGAGGCTCCGTGGCCTCGTCTGTGAAATGGAGAGAATGACAAGATGGCCCACGAGTCTGTTGCTGAGAAGAGTAAATGAGATACGAGACCAGCTTTCCAAACTGCGGAGTGCCACCTAATAATGTTATAATCACTGCACTGCTGCGAGTCCAAAAAGGCAGCCACTGTCCCTCAGAAACACCCCCAAAGCCTGTGTGCGTTTCTCAGGGGGACACCACCAAACCATCAAGCCTGGCGTCTGGCTCCAGGCCCTACGACCCTGCCACAGCAGGGAACAGACAGCAAGGGAGGGGCCAGCGCAACACCAGCACCCTGCAGTCACTGCCTGGTGGCCTTCTGCCAGGACACTGATTGGGACCCTGAGAAAGAGCTCCGCCCAGCAGGAAGGATGCACTTCATGGAGGGGTTACCTTCCCTGCCACCCCAGAGCTGGAGACGCGAAGACACTGAGACACAGGGATGGCCTAGCCAGCCTGAAGTCACGTGGCTTTCCCAAAGCCAGTCCACAAGCTTAGTCACAATGTGACACTGAAAGAAGCCCTTCCCCGAGTCAGGTGTGGTGGTGGTCCATGCCTGCACACCCAGCTCTCTGGGAGGCTGAGGCAGGAGGCTTTCTAGTTCAAATCCAACATGGGCAATTTAGGGATTTAGTGAGACCCTGTCACAAAATAAAAAATTTTTAAAAGGGCTGGAAGTGCAGCTCAGTGCAAAGGTCCTGGGCTAAATCCTGGTACCGAAACAAGGAAGAGGAAGAGTAGGAGAAGAAGGAGGAGAAGGATAAGAGGAAGAAGAAGAGGAGGAGCATCAGGAGAAGGAGCCACTCATTCCAAGAGTCAAGTCCAAGGTCCTCCCCCAGCCCAAGAACCTGGCTCCGAAGGGGCCAGACACACAGAAGACGCCATAGCAGCTGTTGTTTGTTGAGTCTGTGCTGGATGCTTTACACTCATTTTTTATTGCATCAGTTTTTCAGATAAGACTGTATGTAATTTTCCTGAGGCTGCTCAGTCAGTAAGTAGCAAAACTGGACAAGATATGAATCAGGGTCTGAATGGGGAGTGAAGCTCATAACCGCTCTACTCACTGCCTGCTTTGTTTGGGGACTGACCCAAAATGTCAGAGTGGGCTGGTGGCTTCTGGGCGGGGTCTCCAGCCACCCCAGGAAAAGGAGAGAACCACAGAGGAGAGGGAACGCCATTGACTCCTGGCAGCTGCAGGACTGGCCCCCTGCCAGCCTTGTACACCCCCCACCCCCAGGCAAAGACCACAGGGCCGCCCTGCCCTCGTGCCCGGCCGGGAGAAGTGTCAAGTTTGGCTTGCTCTGAACTTGGCTCTGAACCCGGGGTGGGGACCCCAGGAGGGGGAGATGGCGCCTGCTGTGGTACGTCTCCCACTTCCCTTCTGCTGCAGCCAGAGCAACAGGGCGCTATTTATGGAACCCTGTGGACCCTGCTCCTGGAGAACAATTTGGGGTGAGGAGGACGCAGCCCTTCAGAATTCCAGGGCCAGATGGGCCGTGGGAAAGACGCCTGAGTCATCACCTGGGCAAGTGGTGCCCTGCCGGGCCCGCCACCTCCATTCTTGTCACCTCCTAGGATGGGGCAGAAGGTGAGGTGGCCTGGACTGAGACAGAGGATCAAGGCCTGTGGTTGGGGGGCAGATGGATCACCCCAAAGGACCTCCTCTTTGCCTTTGGAACAACACTCCTCCAGACACATCGCAGGAGGGTTGGCAGATAGAATTCTCTGGAGTTGCACAACACACCCACTGCTAACATTTTCACCAAAGGGGATGCAGAGTCTACACCACTCTCCCTGCCGCCACGATTCTTTACAGGTCCTGCAGGGGAGGTCCATCGTGTCGGGGGAGGTAAAGGCCTTCGCCTCCAATTTGAGGACGTTTGTACTTGAAGTCTTTCAAAAGCAGAACATGGAATCGCGTTTGCTCAAACCTTTCACAAACCACCAATTTTGAAAAGAAAATTACATGGATTCAGGGCTGATCCAGAAAATCCAGGCAGCCCTCGGTTTGGGCAGATTGAGGAAGCCTGCCGATGAGGGAGGCACCACTGGGGCAGGGCTGGGACACCTGCTCTGGGCTCAGGAGCCCCCCACATCAGGCCCCCTGGCCTCCCCTGCAGGACCCGTGATCTCAGGAGAGCTCCTGGGCCACAGTTGCAAGAAGAGACTGTTGTGTGAATGCTGAGTTAGAAACCAAGGAGCCCCTGCATCTGCCTGCTGTCCTTTCCAGAGCTTTTCTGCACTTGCTGGAGGCTGATTGGGGAAGGCACCTGCCTGCCCTGAGCCACTGCGGGGAGCACAGCATGGAGTCCCATCTATCCCAGCCTGCCACACCTCCCTCCTTCAGCCTGCAAGTGCTCTCAGGCGTATTTGACGTTTCTTACGGAGCAGCTGGACGCATCATTCCAGACCCGCTGCATACAGGAAGACACAGCCCCTGCCCCTGGAAGTTTACATTCTGCTTGCTGAAGAATATAAAGAGGGCCATCAAGCCTGGGGATCAATGGCTCTCACTCTGGCCAGACCTGCCTTAGGTTGAGCGTTTCCCTGCCTCGCTCTACTTGTTTCACAAGGAATTTTGACTTGCTTTCACCTTTCTAACCTCAGCCTTTTCATCTGCAGGATGGAGTTAATCTAATTTACATGGCAGAGTTGCAGTGAGGACCAGAGACAAGATATGTAAAATGCCAGACATTCAGTCGGCTTTCACAAATGTTACCGTTAAAAGAGCACAGAACATATGTAAAATGCTAAAGGGTCACTGTGTAAAGCTGAGAGGTCAGAGCATTGAGGACCGATGAGGCAAACAATTCTGCTAAGGCAGAGATTCTCGTCCTTGTCTGTGTAGTAGAAATAGCTGGAGCACTTTAAATGATGCTGGTGCCCAGGCCCTGATAATTACACCAGACAAGGGCCGAGGTGAGGGTAGATTTTTTAAATCTGCTCAGTTGATGCTGGGTGCACCCAGGCTAGAGAAACAGAAGGTGCTTTGCAATGCAATCTGGGAAGGCAAGAAAAGAACCTGTATTGAGTTAACTGGTTTGTGCCAGTTGCTTTGAAACAACTACCGGCTCATCTAGTTCTCCCAACAATCATCAGACCCACTTGAACCAAAGGAAGCAGAGATTTAGCAAAGTCACACATAAAACCGCGCTGCCAGGCAGATCTGCCCCCCGCCCAGCCGGGCACTCTTCCCTGCACCGTGGTCTGGAGCAGGCGGTCCAGGAGAAATAGAAAGCAAGCCACAAATGGAGTCTCATGTGTAATCTCACATTTTCTAGTAGCTGCATTAAAACATAAAACGAGGGCTGGGGTTAGAACTCAGTGAGAGCATACAAGGTGTGGATGAATAATTCAGTGAATATTTAAATTTCAAAATGTATTACAGTAAGAGACACATTGCCACCAACCATATTCGAGATACCTCCCTTGCTCAAACACACTCACCCCATCATCCATGTCGCTTCCTGAAGCAGTTCTGGGAGTCCTCTTTCATGAGTGTCTTTAGTTTCTCTGCTGTTGCTGCTGTGATGCCCTGAATCGATTCAAAACGTTTACCTTTCATGGCTTATTTTGACTTTGGGGAAGAGTCAGAAGCTGCATGGTACCAGATCCAGTAAATAAGGTAGCTGAGGACATACCATGATGTTTGCAGGTGCCTGCCTTCCACAAGGCAGGCGCTCACAGCAGCCTTCACTCATTTTCTAAAGAGGACTTCCAGTGCTAATTCAGAAAGTAGAAAATGGAAAATGAAAATGGAAAAAGTTCTTGGAGGGGGGAATTCATGACAATGAGTCTTTTACTGTAATAAAAATATTAACTTGGGCTGGGGATTTAGCTCAGCAGTTCAGTGGCCTGCCTTGCAAGTGCAAGGACCCGAGTTCAATCCCCGATACCAAAAAAAAAAAAAATTAACTTTAAACTGTATATTTTGATCACCCCTTGTACACAAGGCCCTCAGTTTGAGGCCCCGGTTCAAGGTCTAGCCCTGCAAAAAATAAATAAATAAATAAATAAGTAGAAAGAAACAGGTGAAATTAATTTTAGTAATACATTTTATTTAACCCAATTGATCCATAATATTATCATTTCCACATGTAATCAATATAAAACTATTAATAAAGTATTTTTATATGACTCCTTTTCAAGCCGAATCTTCCAAATCTTATTTCAGACGGGCTGTAAGTGTTCAAGAGTCACAGGCAGCTGCCGCATCAAACTTCTCCTGGGGCAGCTGATCTGGAATGGGGCTGGGCAGATGATGAGAGGAGGTGGAGAAAGATCCGTGGATGGGGCTGAGGTGAAGACTGAGGAGTTTCAGATTAGCCAAGGGGCAGTAGGGAGCAACCACTATTTCATGAGTGGGAGCATCCTGCGAGCTGGATCCTGAGAGGGCATTTGTGCTGAGGACTTGGAGGCTGCCCACTAGCTGAACAAGAGCTCAGAGAACAATGAGAGGTCTAAGCGGGAAAGCCCAGCCCGGTGGAACTGGGAGGCCAAGGCCCCTGCCCTCATCCGCCGCTAGAAATACCCAAGGCAGGAGCTGCACGTGTGAATTCACTCCCTAGGGCAGTGGGCAGGTCATCACAGCCAGCTCTAGTTGGGACAAGACTGTGGGGGACCCAGGGGCTGCTTTAAGGGTCCTCTTGCTCCGCAGTCACAGAGGCTGCTCCTTCCCGCCCCCCACCACTCCTGTAGCCCATAAAGGGTAATGAAGCTGAAGTTAAAATAGTCACATGAAACCCCACTCATTTGAAAGGGCACCTGCTTTAAAGGCCAAATTTCCTGAGCCCAGGTTTATGCATTAAAATGCAGAACGAACTAATTAATTCAGACCCCACTCACTCTGAATTTGGGAGAAATTCTGCCTCAGGCTGGTCTGAAGCCTTTCCTTTTGCACTATCTATGAAGGAACGGTTTGCTAAGCAAATAAATAGTGCAGGCCAGATTACAGAGACAGGTCTGGCTTACTTAACTGTTTTTAAGAACTTTAAAAATCACTTTAGCAGTCCCATTCCCAGAAAGTTAATGAGATCATTACAGCTGGTCCTTATCTGTTTATTCCAGCATTTCAGTTTTCCAAGAACCCTCATACCTGCCCGTTGATGTGATCCTTGAATGGAGATTCCATTATTTTTCCGTCTCCAACAACTGACTTGGCACACGGCGCGTTTCTGGTGCCCAGCACGTAGTAGGTAGTTAATATTTGCTGAATGAATGAAGGCAGGCATGGCAATTAACATCAGTTCCACGTTACACAGGGGGAACAGGACGCCCAGAGGAACTGTTATAACAGGTCAGGGTCGCGAGGGCTTTGGGGCATCCAAGAACTGGACCAGCCACACAGCCAGCAAACAGTGAGGTCCAGGTTTGAATCAGAGCTTTGGGTTTCCAAGGCCTCTCATCTCTTCAGTAACAGTGCATTAGTTGACTTTGAGGAACGGTGTGTTCTCAGGAGCAGCCACAAAACCCCCCATGTTCTCCTGTCAATTGCCTTTCCTCCAGGTGAGGAAGGCAGTGAGGCTGTGTCCCCCTTCCCTTCAGGGGCTGCGACACTGGCCCCCAGGATGTCAGGGCCTTCGCAGGTCGTTGTCCTCCCAGGAGGGAAGAGCTGGAAGGAATGGGTATTGTTCTACACTGAGCTGGGCCTGGTGCCTCTGGGGACTGTTCCCCAGGATGGTCTTTGCCCCCCTGTCCCCTGGCCTCCCCTGGCCCTGATGGATGGAGAGGGAGGGAGGTTACAGTGTGGAGGGGAACTATCTCTGTCTCTCTCTCCCCTTTGTTCTGGAGGCTCTGCCGGCTTGGAATACTGCACAGGGAAAATTCCCTGACCGTGAGATCTGCAGGCAGCAGGGTCCCCCAGGGAGGGCCGGCCCCGGGCTCTTTCGAGCTACAGCTGGAAAACGGGGTTGGATTTCAACAAGCCTGGCTAGGGGAAGGCAGCCCGCCTCCTCCTCCCCTTCTTCCTCCCCCACGGTGGCGGTGAGGGAGCAGGTCCTGCAAGCCAGTGCCAGCGGTGCCCACAGCTTCCTGTCGAGAGCCGGGGGCCCACACGACCGCTCCCCACTCCTGGGATTAGGGGGTGAAAAGCCCAAGAGAGAGGGAAGGCAGAAGAGGCACTCTGGTGCTGTCTCGCTTGGCTGGGGGCTGGCTGAGGGGCAGAGGACCAAAGCTGTTGTTGCTAGATGACTTCTGCCGACTCCTTGTCACATGGCCCAGTGTGTGCCCCAAGAGGGGAGCCTTGGCACTGTTTGGGGCAAGGGGCTGCTTGTTTAAAGTCCCCACCCCTCAGCCTGGCCACACACATTCCATAGTGCCTGACAGGGAGGGGATGCAGAAGTCACAGGCCGGCTTGGTGCAGGGAAGATGGGACCCAGCGGGTGACAGGGAAAATACACGCGGCTGGGCTGAGGACTACAGAGGTGCTCTGACCTCCCTGGCCTTCCCTTACTCCTCACTGTAGGCCAAGAGTGGCCAGGAACAGAGAATGAGGCCTGTTGCTGGAGTCATCCTGACCAGGACATCATGTATGGTCAAGAGATTCCTTGTTCTGCACCAAAAGCATTTATTGAACACCTACTATGTACAGAAGCGGGCACAGAAATACACCAGACTCTGACTTGAGGTGAAGTTTGAGGGCTATAGGGTGCAGCCTTAGGGTTCAGAGAGCTTCCTGAAGGAGAAGGAAGCCAGTAGGGAGCGAGGTCCCCAAGGAGCCAATTTAGAGTGGATTTCTGGGTACAATTCTGCATCCCACCTCGTAGGCACAGCACCTCCCTCTGCAGTCTATCCTGCTCCTACCAGCTAAGAGGTGGCCTAGAATACCCAGGGCAGTGGCGGTGAAACTTTTAGAGCTTTCAGTGATACAAACAGCCTGCCGTGGCATGCGTGCCAAGGGTTTGCCATAGGGTGTGGTAGGCCAAGCACCTGACAGCTTCCCAGGGGCACAGGTCTGCCGGGGGTTCCGGGGGGAGCTGTGCTCACTTCCCCTCCTTGGTCTGTGCCCCTTGTGAGGGATGCTGGGGTGTCCGGAGAAGCAGTAGCCATGACGGCCAATGGTGCTGGGGCCAAAGCCCACCCCACTGCAGTTCACTGGCTTCTGAGCTGAGTGCTGTCTGTCAAACGTCTCCTCAGGCCAGCACAGCCTTGGCCTCTTCCCCATAGGGATTTCTGGTGCTGCTGTCTACCCTATAGGTGATTTTTGTTCCAAGCTCTGTCTCTATTGTTTACACAGTCCAGAGTTCCATGGAGTTAGAAAAACATATTTTCCTTTCCACTCACGGTACTACAGAAAACAGCCAGCCCAAGGAGTGCCCTCGCTCTGATGGGCTCGTCCGAGTTCTAGAGGCTTCTCTGTCTAGGATTCTGTGATTACTGTCTCCCCAGGGCTGGTTCAGCACTGAGGCCCCGCCTAGGGCCTGGAACTCTTGCTGTGAGGTCAGTTTCTAAGAACGGAGTCATTCCTGCTCAGAGTTCTGAGGCCAGGGTACTGCCCCTCTGCAGTATGGCCTCCAGCTGCCACCTTGTCTGAGAGCCCTAACAAAGATGAGGGAAGCAGATGCTTGGGAAGGTAGCTGGCAAGGCAATGACCAAGCGAAGGAGGCCACGGGAGAGGAGGCAGAAGGCTGTCCAGCTCGCCTGCAGGAGGGGCGAAATCTCCCTGCTTTTAGCCAGCATGCTGTGCCCCTGGGCTTTCTCTCTAGCATCTTTGTTTCTTCTCCACAGCAAAGATCTCCCTTTTCTCTCACTTAGTTCAATAGCTGTCCTCCTGCGGGGCTGGAGGCCTGGCTGGCTGAGGGCTCTACAGATAGTTCTTCAGTGTTTCCTCCTGAGAACTGGGTTCTAGGCTACCCTCACTCCTGCTTCTTACCATACTTTTTCCTTCCTCCCTCCTCACCCTTCTCCTCTGCTAACCTGCAGCCCCTGTACACCCAGCACCTTGTCCCTTTGGGTCTCCGAGACTTCTCCACTCATACCCCACCTGGAGTTCTTTCCTCTCCATCAGTCAAGAAATAGGTCAAGCCACCTCGCTTCTCTGCACCTCAGTTTCCTTGTCTACAGAATGACGGAAGTAGCAGGTGGAGGGTGCCTGACAGTCAGAGCCCTTCACCCCAAGCCTGGAAGAGCCTACTTATGAATGCCCTGGTGCCTAAGCAGGTGTTTCAAGAAAAGACTGCCAAGTATGTGCACTGGGACCCCAAGACTCTCTACCCCAGGCCAGCCCAGGGCTGAGCAGCAATCCACTGCTGATTCACGTTGCTGCGGGTCCAAAGATAGGGGGTGCAGCTCAATAGAGCACTTGCCTAGCATGTGCAAAGCCATGGGTTCAACCCCCGGCACCCCCAAAGTAGATGGGATGGGGTGCAGCAGAATGGGGGAACCCCAGGGGGATAGGGGGCAGCAGGATGGAATGGAATGAGCCTTCTGCCCTTGGCTAGTTCAAATATTCTTGAATTCTGAAACATTCTCAAATGTTTCTGAGCCAAGAATGCCCCAAAGGAGTGGCTCGGTGTCTGGGGTTACAGAGACTTTGTTACTTCAGCAAAGCATACTACAAGTCATTTACTGGTTTAATTTAATTATTTATGATAACACTTCAGAGCAAAAACTACACTTGTCAAAATAAAGGGGACTTTGTGCTGCAGTGACCGAGATTTTATTGTTTCATTACCTAATGCACCGAGACCTGGTAATCGGCACCAGATCTCCCTGCAACTTGGGCAAATCAGCACCGAGTGAGGAGGACTGAAATGGATTACTGCTTCCTGGGGGAATTATTGTCAACCATTCTAACGAAAAGGCCTTCGATTCCATCCTCCTGCTCTTGTTGCATCTCCTTCTTTCCCCAAATAAGCTGGTTTCTACACACATTGGACTGTGTGTTTCCCATGTCGATCACCTCCCTTACACATGCAGTGCCCGCTGGAATGCCTTCACCACCCAAAGGATCTCCATCCCAAACCTGTCCTCACCACCGATTCCCCTGAGCATTTAAGAAGGCATGCAGATGCCTGGGTGCCTGAAGAGTTCCCACTGAGCCTCCGTGGGGCCCTCCAGTGTCCCTGCCCTTCTAAACACTTCCTCCTAGTGGTTCACCAGCCTTGACTCTTTTCCTGGCAGCTTCTCCTCCATGGCACTGAGTTCCTGGAAGACAGGTCTTGTCTTAACCTTTGAGCTTAGAGGGAGCTCAGAGAATCAATGGCTGGTTGAGTATTGGGTACTTCGCAGAACGAAGAGTTTGTTAGAGCTGTACAGATAAGAGACGTGGGTGCCAACTCCTGTCCTCACCCAGCACTGAGTCCCTCTTCTCTCACCTGATGCCTTCAGGTTCACATTCTTCTTTTGATAGAAATGACCTTTTCGGTAAGAGGTCCTTTGAGGACGTGACCTTCCTAGATACTGTCTGTGATGGGACATAGGGAACTGTGAACTTCTGGCACGGTACCATAGGCGTGGAGTCCGGCCCACCGCTCACAGGAGGCCTGTCAGGACCAGCCTCCGCTGCTTACTCTTTATTAATGACCCTCTCCTGAGCACCAAGGCTAACAGGTTCTCTCAATACCCCACTGCCTCCCTCAGCCCTGCCCCTCCATTATTCACATTTGGTGTCAGGGGTGATGACAGCGAGGTTATCCACAGCTGAATCTAGTGACAAGTACTCAAAATAAGGAAGGAAAACATACCTGGTAGAAGACCCCATCCATCCATCCATCCATCCATCCATCCATCCATCCACATGGTCACTTATTGCTAAGTCAAGAGGATAAAACAGAACAGAACAGTTTTTAAAAAGCCCTGCTTCCTGTTCATAAGGGGGTTACAGTCTAACTGGGGAGACAGAAAGGAGCTGTAATTCTGGCTGCAAGTTGTTCTTCATCCTCAACCGTCCCATCTGTAACAAGAGTCGTTTCCCACATTGTCAATACTTTTTATTTACAAAGCACCTCCTGTGTGAGCTACGAAAGAAAAATCTTCTGCACTTTTACCATATCTAAAACCAAACTGGACCAGATGTACCCTGAGGTCCTGCCTGCCCCTGCCCAGGTGGGCTCCTAGTATAGAAACTTCTGGGGCCCATGGCCTGCAAATTGACAGCTCCCTGGAGGTGTTTGCTAAGAAGCCAGGAATGTTCAAGGAGGAATTAATGAGCCACAGAGTCAGAGACCTTGGGAACCACCCAAACCAGTGGGCCCCAGCCCTGGCTGCACATTACAATCATTCATTGAAGGCTTTAAAGGGGAAAATGGCAGTGTCTGGAATCCAGTGGAATCCGTATTTCTTAAAGGCTCCTCAGGTAAGGCCCTTTGTGCAGCCAGGTTGAAAGCCACTGGTCTCACAAACAAGGCCATTCTGAGACCAGGAGAGGAGGAAGTTGAGCAGAGAACAGATATCACACAGCCAAAGCCCCTGCCTTCCCATAATGCCCGCTGCTTCTCTAAGCCTTCGTGGAAGGTGAGATCTTTCCAGCGCACCTCCAGAGATGGCTAGGCCCTGCTGTCCCTGGACACCCTGCCCTGTCCCATCCTGAGGACATTGCCTAGAGCTGCCTGGCCCTTGTCGCGTCCTTTCCCAGTGTCCAGAGGCAAGGAGACAGGCACTGGCAGGTGAGGCCAGGGCCTTCCATCAAGAGAGGGATTTTTGTCAGAGTAGGTTGTGATTGTTTGACTTAAACAAACAGGGCTTGTTCCAGGAAGACATTTGTCTGCGTGGGGCAGCAGCGCCATTCATCACAGTAGCTCCAGGGCTAAGGTCGAGAAGTCACCTTTTCAGGACCCCAGCCCACAGGGAGGGGCTTGAGGGCCACTCCCCCAGGGCCGGCCTGGAGAAGATGTCAGGAAAGCTAATGAGCCACTGGACAGCTGCAGCTCGTTAAAAAGCACCCGGGGCCCATTGTAACTGAGACCTTTAAATATACATCGTAGTCAAATAAACAGCATCCTCCCACCCAGTGGCCAGTCCCTCCAGGGCCAGGCTGGTCCAGCGCAGCCCAGCCCAGCCCACCCAACCCTTCCTGGCCCTCCCAGCACTATCCCATTCCAAAGGGAAAAGTCCTTCCAAGGCTTACTCCTTCCTTGTCTGGAAACGATAGACTCTAACTGGGAAAGGTGGTGCGGCCAGGTTCTGTGACCCGCCCCCTCCTCTAATCAGAAACAGCTGTATCCTCATCACAGGCCCTGTCGCCATGTGTAGGTCCCCCTGGGTATCACAAGGTCAGGATGGCACGGGGGTCCCTGGAGAACCTACGCAGGACACATTCTGCTGAGTCCGAACCCCTTGGAAGCTCTGAGAGCCAGCTCGGAACACCCAGTCCCCCGCCCCCCTCTTCCTCCTCTCCTTCAAAACCCTCTGAACAGGTTCCCACCTCCGGGAAGCCTTGCCAGATTTATCTAAGCAGGGCTGGTGGCCTGCTGTGTCCTCTGACTGAAGGTGTGGTGCGTGCCTCTGGGAGTGCTCTGAGCCCAGGGGAAAGGAGGGGTCTCTTTCCCTTGCCACACTGTTCCTCCGGGAGCCGGGACCAGTTTGTTCATTCTAATCCCCAGAGACTAGCTTGGCTCGAAGATCCTAGGAGCCCCGCTGAGTGAGTGCGGGACTCCTGGGCTCTGCTCACCCCTCTCTAAGGCCTCCTCCATCAGGGCCTGGTTAGGGCCCGGGCAGCACACAGTAAGCGGGCTCCATGCACATCGAGCTATTGTTGCCCAGCAGCAAATGGTGCTGGGAAGGAGAAGTCACAGAGCTGTCCCCAGAGCGCTATCTGATGCAGAGGGATATTTTACATCCAGTGACAGGACCCTGGCCAGTAGAAGTCTAATTTGAGAGTGGAGCAGCAGATTCAGGAACACAAGACAGGACTAGGAAAGGGAAGAGGCCCGCGCTCTCTCGCCAGAGCACTTCTATCGGCTGAGAGCCTCAGTTTACCGCTCTGTGCCCTCACAGGCTCCACTGTGGGCGCTACACCTCCCCACAGTGTACCCCACTTCATTGCTGGGTACCCCCTGCCGTCAGAGGCTGTGTCACCTCCACACCCAACTCCGTTAGACCACGGGTATCCGCCGCCATTTTCCCATGGTGACGCTCAGTCTGTCACACCCTCCTTCAAGGGAGCCTGCTACAAATGCGGTGTGTGAAGTTTGGAGGCCCTGCCCGGGCCAGCAATCTGTCTCTGCAGCCTCTGGGTGTGAGGAGAAACTAGAGGGGAAGGGAGAAAAGAGCCCTGAGGCTGAGCAGCAGCAGAATAGGTCATAGGGTCCCTGTGGGGAGGGGCCTTACCAACCCCTCAAAAAAGCAGCCCACATCAGGGGTGAACTGACGTGTCTGCCAAACATCATGGTTTTGTGCACAGGTGGGCAGTGATGTCCACCGTCCACCATTCGCTTGCACGGGCATTGTCCAGTTTGTAGATATTAACACTGTCAATCTTTATCAGCTCCCAGGGAGGTGGTATAATTGAACTCGTTTCACAGATAAGGAAACGGAACACTTTGGCCGGGGTTGCATACCTTATAAATTGTAGTGTTGGAATTTGAACCTTTGTCCCCGCAGCCCCAAATCTGTCACCCTAGTCCACAGTTGGCCCAGAGATCATTATCTTGTACTGACAGTGGGGAAGACAACACCTACCAGACACAGTGGGCAGGTGGGGGGACATGCTTTGATTAAAACTGAGGAGACTATGGCTGAGAACAATTGATTGTGTACCTCAAAAGAGCCAGGAGAAAGAACTGTGTATGATCCCAACACAAAGAAACGACAAATGTGTGAGATGATAGAATGGTCACTCACCCTGATTTGGTCATCACATTACAGACAACTACTGAAATATCACACATGCCCCATAAATACGTTCAATGGGCATCAGTTAAATTTTTGAAATATTTCTAAAACTTTACTTAGAGGCATCCTGCCCCAGGATGATCCAGAGGAAATCAAAGTTGACCATATTTCTCTTTGTCCCAGGCTTAGTGAGGTGCACAGATGTTTTACCTGCATGTGGTTACCAGCCAGTTACTCTGGATGAGCAGACCTCCTAAGCCGCTCACACATAGGTGTCCTCAGGCTACTTCCTTCCAAGCCTGGACACCCAGTCAGCCACTTCAGTGTGATCCTCCCCATGTTCCTGTCCCCTTGACCCGCTCTGGACCTTCAGTGCCGACACCCAGTTCCAGCCACGCCTGCCATGGTTTTCATGTTCCTGACCTTAGATCCCTGCAGAAGCAAAATGCACAGATTTCAGGTCATGCAGACCAGAGGATTTGCCTCTCATCTCTTCCCTCTGCTCCCTCAGCATGGAGACGTTGGACACTTCCAGCCTGGCCCTGGGCCCACAGCTCAGAAACGCTAGAGTCTAACACAGTTTCTGGTCTCTGAGGCTGACGAGTATGTTGGTATAAATTCCTTACAATGCAGAGGCACTCAGCCACCTGGCCAGGTAGGGGTGGAAATTCCCACTCCACAGAGGTCCTGTCCACCGAGTCAGCCCTACACCCTTAAGGCTGTGCCTGCCTGGGAAGGGGGTGGGCGAGCTTGTTCCCAAAGTCACACAAAGGTGCTGTGTACTTGACGCCCCTGACTTCTCTGAACAAACCCAACCTGTTCTCTGCATCTTCGCCATCGCTAGAGGGGCAGACTCTCCTTCTGGGTGCTTACCTGACCGCCATGGCTTCTCCCGGCACAGGTCTGTTTCTGTCCACTTCCTGTGGTCACCTGCTCTCAACACAACACGTTCTCTCCACTTGTCCAAAGCCATGCCCGTGGAGACTTCCAGTGGTGCTCCCCCTAAACACACACTGCTTTCCTCTGAGGCTGAGCAGCAGAACAATAGGTCATGGGGGCCCTGTGGGGAGGGGCCCTACCACCCCCCAAAACAGCCCACATCAGGGGTCAGCTGTCAAACTTTCTGACATCAATCTGCCAAACATGGTTTTGTGCACAGGTGGGGAGATACCTCCTGGGGAAGGTAATTCCATCCATTTATTTCTAATTTGTTAGAACTGAAACTCAGTACCCAATGAACACCAACTCACATTCTCCCTCCCCCTAGTCCCAGTCCCAGGAAATAACTTTCCGTCTCTGGATTGGACCATTCCAGACACTTCGTGTAAGTGGAATCATGTAATATCCGTCCTTTTGTGACAGGCCTGTTTCACGGAGCATAATGCTCTCGTGCTTCATTCATGTTATAGCCCTTTTGGTGGCTGAATGATATTCTGTTGTGTGTCTGGAACACCTGTGGCTTTAACCATGTGTCCTGCCATGAACACTTGGGTTGCTTCCATCTTTTTTCCATTGTGCATAATATTGCGACAAACATAGATGCCATCTTTTTGTTCTTCTTTTCTTTTTTTTTAGGACAGGGTCTTGCTATATTGCCCAGGCTGCTCTCAGCCTCCTGGGCCCAAGCCTTCCCAGTAGCCGGGCCTGTAGGTGCGCACCACCACACAAAGTTCCTGTTTCTTTGCATCCTCTTTATCTTCTTTTACTTGCTCCTTCCTCTCTGATTGGAAACCCACCCAATACTTAACAGCCACAAAGCCCGGGCTTTCCAGAATAACCCTAGTTTCATAGTTCCCCACCAACTATTGAAAAGTCCCAGCAACTCCAGTAAATCTCCTCTGTCTGTGGCTCATATTTAGAAAAGACACAAAAATCTTTTATAAGACTCTGCATTTTTTTCTTTTAATTTGGAAAATGTCATCACTTTAAAAAGTCCCTCCCACGTTCAATCAAGAACGAACATCTTTGCTCAGCCCAGTGCCTCCAGGTGCCATCTCTCTCCTTCCCTCTCCTGCCAACCCTCTCTGTGGCTCTGCTCCCCTCTCCCGCTTCCTCACCCCCTGCCATTTTCTTAATGCCTTGCAATCTGGCTTGTCGGAACAACTCGGCTGAATCTGCTCTTGCCAAGGTCACCAGTGACTTCTTTTTAAAACAAGCTCCAATTGTTGTGTTTCTGGATTATCAAATAGATGCTCATTGTAGAAAAGCTGGCAAGTACCAAGTAGCACATAGGAGCAGAGAAAGGTCACTTGCCCACAGTCACTCCAGCCAGAGGCAACTGCCATTAGCCTTTTGGCATATTTCTTTCCAGTCTTTCTTCTTTAATCCAAAAAGTTTCTCGCTTTGCACCATCCCCATCTTTCCTGATCCCTGCAATACCTAATGCTATAGAATATTCATTTCCTTTTGAAATTCCCTCCTCCAAAATTTCTACTTCTCTGGTTTCTGCTCCAGCTCCACCAATTGTCTCCTTTGTGACCTGTTCTCTAACTGAGCCCTGCCTAGATTCAGAGGTGCCTGGGTTCAGTGTCCACAGAGGTCCCTGAGAGCCAAGTGGTGGTAACCTAATACAGACCATTATCTGAAGTCAAGAGCAGATCGAGGTAAGCCAGCAAACCCACAAGCTCCCACCGTCCTCCCTGTCCTTATCCAGGTGTCACCTCCTCTGTGGGTGCTCTCTGGCTCCCTGGCAGGGAGGGGTGTCACTATATCCTCCCTCCTTCCTGTTTCCTTCCAGTGTGCTATCTGTCCTTGAAGTGCCTAGATCACTACCTGGACTCACAGTGACACCCTCCTTGCTGGGTCCCTCTGTAGACTGTCAGCCTCTTAAGAGCAAGGACATTCATGCTCCCTTTCCTGATCCCAGTGGGAAACCCAACAGCCAGCTCTGAGGCCCAGAGAGAGGAGGCCGCAAGCAGGCTTAAGAGCCACTAAGCCCAGAGCCTAGCGGACTCCTGGTCCCAAACTCTTACAATATCGAAATGGGACCCCATCATGGTGCAGCATGAGGACAGATTATGGTGCATCCACCAGGAAACACCCGGCTGCCAGACACGATAGAGCAGTGCAGGGACTGGTAAGAAAGGTGAGGGAAAACAGAGGTGGGCTGACCTCTGAGAGAGAGAGAGTTCCCTGCGAATCACTAAAGTGTCCAGGTTAGGACTCCATCGTCCCCACTCTGAAATTTCTCCTAGGATGTACTTCCTTATGCATAACTCGAGCTCTCTCTCTTCCAGACTTTTGAGCCAGATAAAGAGGAGAGGGCCAGGGTTCTACCTGATACACAAAGAGCAGACAGAGTTTGGAGAGGGAGTGCACATCTATGATCAGGAATTCGAGAGGAGTAATGGAAGAAGAGATACCAGAGCCCAACTCAGTCCTTAAGGAGGGGTAAGGTTTGACCTGAAAGAAAATTGTAAGAAGGAAAGCACAGACAAGAGTTAGTATGTGAGCCCGGAAAATGTCAGTCTGCCAGCTGCCTACTGAGGTAAGGCTCCTGTGCTCTAAGGACACTCTCAGAATGATCCCGGAGGCACCTCCCAAACTTGAACACTCAACACGACACATGGGGACCACCGAAGCTAAAACAAGCCAAGCTGGAAATCCTGGTTTCAGGTAATGCCTTTGAGTCTGTTTCCACATTCTACCACAGGGATAATAATACCAACCTTGAGAAGTTGTAAGGATTCAAATGCTGTATGCGCAGTAGATGCACAGTACTCGCTCAACACATAGCACTAACCTCATTGGTAGTACTATATTAGTACTATTTTGAGACCTACCGTTTCAGCTTTGGGGAAACAGCCCAGAGATTGGAGGGACCCAACTGGGTCTCCCCACTCTTGCCTCTGACTCCAACCCTCCTCAGTCACTTCTGATTTGCAGTGATGAGGGGGAATCAAAAGACCTGGGTATTTATTCCACTTGGCCCTGTGACCTAGAGCAAAGAATTTTAACTCTGTAACGTTTACCCATAGGGTTGTTGGGAGGCTCCCTGATGCATGTGTGTCAGAGCCCTGCTGGCACACCCCAGGTGCTAGGTCAACCTTCTGGAAACCCTTGCCTTCTTCCCACCCTCCCAGGGCCTGGTGTGGGGTCCAGGGCTGGGCTGCTCTGAGTTGCTGGGTGGTGGGGTGGGGTGGAGCAGAGTCAAGGGCCCGAGATGAATGCATAAATAACCAGCCATCCTGGTCTCGCTTCAAAAGTCCTGGTCTCCAACCCTTTAATCATGAAGCTGCTCTTCCCTGGCCACCTTCCAGGGCCCCGCCCGCCCACTTCCCATGCAGAGAAGGGCCCAAGGAGGGAGCTCTGGATCTTCCCAGCTGCCTGGTTTGCATGGCACGCGCCTAATCGATCCCAGGAACCCAAGGGTCTGCCTCTCGGCTGCCTCACCCCATGCCCAGCATCCCTCACCCCATGCAACTCCCAGCAACCTCTCAGGGTTGGCTCTGAGTTCCCCACCATCCTGTCCGCTACTCTCTGACCAGGCCTGCCCTTCAGTCCTGCCAGGCAGGAAAATGAGTTTGTCAGGGCAGTGTCCTCCTCTCCATGGGGACCACGTTCCATTGCATGAGCCGAAGCATCAGTCCCCAAGGCCGATAGTTCCAAGCGTCCTCGTGGGACAATGGAAACCTAATATTAGAAAGTGAGCCGGTCTTGGAAAATCCAGGACATGTGTTTGCCATGTTGGTTACCAGCCCCCCCTCCACTGAAGGCGAACCTCTTTATGCAAGGCGGAGTATTCCTCTGGGATCAGGAGTGAGAAGTATGTTGGGGGTAGGGAGAGGGATTGCATATGAAATCACATTTGGCAACTTGAGTCGTATTTTTTAATGCACTAATGGAGCTGGCTTCTTGAATCAGTGATTCTTTTTCATATGGGAATGAATTCATATGGGAAACAGTTCCAATAGAGCTATTTTTAGACTGGGGTATACTGGATTTGCTTAAACTGAGGCACACCATATCCACTGTGCAGCCCTTTTGTTCGAGGTCTCCTTCTCTGAATTTCCTCGACCCTGGAATTCAGCTGCCAGTTCTGTAATTTGTATCTCTCCCAACAGAGGTGCGGCTGCAGGACCTCGGGGCAGAGCAGGCAGCACCTGGCCTTTGGCACCCTCACACCGGGATCAGAGCCTCTGCTCCTCTGCTTCCCGCCCGACCCGGTGTCCTTACTGAGCTGGGTGGGGTGAGGGAGACCCTGGCTGGGGGTGAGGGCGGCAATATTCTTCCCCGGGGGATAGACTGGGAGGATTAAACCAGGTCACAGAAGAGGCAGTCCACGAGTCTGCGAGATTCCCTCCCCCCAGGTCTTGCATTCAGAAGTTCTTAAAAAGTAACATCTGCCAGCTTACGGAACACATCTGTCCATTCCCAGCACACCATTAGGCCCTGCAAACCTGAGCACATCCTGCTTTTGTAAATCATCTTCACCCAGGGCTCCCCTCTTCCCGGATGAGCACCCCCCTCCTGAGTTCTGAGCTCTGGCAGACGATGAAGCTGCAGGATTAAAGGCAACCGAGGCACCTTCTTGAGAAGCCCCCACAGCAGGTCACGCTTCCCTGCACCCAGGCCTGGCTAGCCCAAGGCACTCTCCAAAGTCACAAATTCTAGAATCTTAGAGTGAGGTGCCCTAGAGACTCTTACACCTCTCAGTTCCCTGTAGTGCAAAAGGAGAAACTGAGGCCCAGAGAGGCATCTCTTACTTAGGGTCACAAGGCCAGTTAACAGTGGCACGACCAGCCTGAGGAGAGCCCTCCCTCCCGCCGTCCTGTCTCCCTCCCGAGGCTGCTGGTCTCTACGCCCAGAGAGCCTGCATTCCGCCGGAGCAAGGAGTGTGTCCCTCACTAGTCCACGCCCAGAGCTCTGAGTAAGTGGTGTTGGCTGATGGCTAACAGCATTCTTCACAAAGAAAGGAGATTGACAAAGAGCCCTGGAAGCTCCTGGCTTTCCATCCTTGTCTTTGGGAGGCAGTGTGGGGCTGAGAAAGAAGGCTGACCTGGGGCCAAAAGGCTTGGGTTCTG